AAAGCCCTCACAGTCACTACATGAGTCATGTCTGGTCAAGTTGACAGTGATGATAAACCTTAAACCTGGCTGAGTTGGTCCGCTGTTGTCATAACTCCTCTCAACTTCATGACATGGGCTAGTGATACCATAGCAGACAGTGCTACACATTTCTCATTTCCTCTACACCAGTAGCTCCTTGTCTGCAGGAGAGGCCTTCCAAGAGCCTAGTGGAACTGAGTCATAGAGTTGAATGCCTGTGCTACCCTAAGGAAGTGCCTTGGTAAATTTATTGGTGGAGAGATCTGTTCTCTGTAGTAGATCTTAGAAACTTAAGCCCTGACTTTTTTTTTTCTCTCCTTGTTAACCTAAGAGCTTTTGCCTTTTTTCTTGAAGCCTTTACCACTTTTCTTTGGCATGTCCAAATCACCAGCATCACTGATGTTATGTTTTGCTCTGCTTTTCAACCACCCCATAACCAAGACAACTGTTGAGGTGTCACCGTGGGCACTGGTCAAAGGGATGATTTTCATCCTGAGTGGAGTGGCCTTGGTTTTACCATAGTTCTGTATTAGTTATGTTTCTATTGCTGTAACAAAACACCATGACCTAGGCAACTTATGAAATAAGTATTTAATTGAGCTTCTGGCTTTAGAGGGGTGGAGTTAGAGATGGCAAGTGAAGGCACGGAGGCAGAAACAGCTGAGAGCTCACAACTTGATCTGCAAGCAGGAAGCAGAAAGAACACACTGGGAATGGTGGGAGCCTTTTGAAACCTCAATTCCCACACCCAGTGACACTTCTCCAACAAGACTCCACCTCCTAACCCTCTCCAGATAGTTGTACCTCCTGACCAAGTATTCAAACATATGAGCCTATGAGACCACTCTCATCCACACCACCACGGCCATTTTACTGAGAACGGCATATAATTAAATCTTAATTTCTACAATTTTCTCTTTAACATTCCCAGACTGCTACGGCTGATTTTGGATAAATGAGACCAGAAAGCTGAGGCGTAGTTGAAGGGATGACTGTATTTTCACGTTTGTCTGTTTGGATCTCCTTCAGATACTGAGTCCTGAAGGGTAATTTTGCTAATGTGTGCATTCGCCTTCTATCCCTACTTCAGCACCCCACCTGGGGTCTCCATTACTGCCTGACCACCCACCTGGTGCTCCATCCAGTCATCCAGTCATGGGGTGTTTCTATGCCTCACCATTTGTGTGTGTGTGTGTGTGTGTGTGTGTGTGTGTGTGTACGTACGTACACATGTGTCTCTGTGTGGACAACCTCGGGTGTTGATTCTCCCACTGGTTGTCCAGTAAGCCCCAGGGATCCTCTCCAGCACTGGGACTACATGTGTGTGCCACCATTCCTGGCTTTTAAAGTGTGAATTCTAGGGATGAACAGGTTTTCATGCTGCAAGGCAAGCACTTTACTGCCTGAGCCGTCACCTCTGCCCTGCTTTCCGGCTTAAAATCACATTTTGTTTCAGCCTGCTTCCCTGAATTGAGTCAGTCCAAGCCAGTATGTCAGCCATAGCTTCTGTGTTGAGCTGGAGGCACCCGAGCATCCAGAGAAACCAGTCTCAGACTCTCCAGTGATCAAGAAGCAAATAGGCTACCATCGAAGGGTTTTGTGTGACAAGGGAGGAGTGTGTTTTCATGTTTAAACCTCTGGAATAACTTCATTATCTTCACACACAGAGGTCTAAAGACGCTCCTTTTCCAGGAGGGAATGCACCTAGCACTTGACAGACATGTTATAGGCACTCAGTAGGTCTGTTTTCTTTCTTTGTTTTGTATGTGTGTGTGTGTTTTGTTTGGTTGTTTTTCGAGACAGGGTTGCTCTGTATTGTTTTGGAGGCTGTCCTGGAACTAGCACGTGTAGACCAGGCTGGCCTCCAACTCACAGAGATCCACCTGCCTCTGCCTCCCGAGTGCTGGGATTAAAGGCGTGCGCCACCCCTGCTAGTAGGTCTGTTTTCTTTCACTGCCTTGAACACCCTTCCCCATGTCATATCCCTGAAGTGACCCTAAGGCTCAGGTGGGTGTCTTTGTTACTTTTCTGTTGCTGTGATGAAATACACGAGAAGGAAGAGTTTATTTGCAGTTCCAGGGTTATGGTACAGGATGATGGTGTGAAGTCGTGGAGGCCGGCATCTGGCAGCCGAGAGCTGGCATCTAGAATTGCAAACAGGAAGCAGAGAGAGCCATTTCGGAATGGCTCAAGTCTTTTGACACTCTAAAGTCTGCCCCATGAGGCTACATCTAATTCTCCTCAAACAGACACCAACTGGGGACCAAGTATTAAAATGCCAAGACTTATGGGGGACATTTCATTCAAACCACCACAGTGGGATAACAACAACAACAAAAGCAGCCTAAAGAGCCAGCAGTAGACCGTGGAGACCACCACTCTCTGCCTCTTGCTTAAACAGAGCAGTGTGTTGGTTCTGCTTGTCTGGTGCACTCAGACATTGAGACTGTAATGTGTTTTCCCATCCTCAGACACAGTAACCACATTATCCTGCTGGCAGTTCACAGGAATCCTTGGCTAAAACATTGTACTCAGGGACCTCTGTTAATGAAGCCGGCATGTAGTAATTTCCTAGCTAGATGTCTTGTGGGGCATGCTGCCTTTCCTGTTACTACCTCTCCAAGCTGAGAAGCGTCTTTCCCAGTCACTCAGCCCTAGTGGGCACCCCTGCTTGCTCAGAACAGAGTCAAAGCCTTGGGTGTGTCTCTGGGGAGCAGAAGCTTCTTTGGTAAATCTCCCCTTCCATTTGGTCCTAGAGAAACAGTGACAGCATCTGCAGTTTGGTGGCCTGCAGGGTGCTTCCCAGAGATCCTCAGATGGCACAGGAGGCGTGTGCTGCCGTGAGTGAGCCATCACCTCTTGCCAGCAATCTGCCCCAGCCTGTCTGCCCCACGCAGCACCAGAGTGCCTTTCAGAACACAAGTTTGGACTCCAACTCCTTTTTTGTGCTTGACATGGTCCCTGTTTTATGTGTTTTGTTTAGAGTCATACACTGGAAGTGACCCCCAAGCTGAGGTGAGATACCCCTCTGTGAGCTTCTGCCACTGTAGGTACTGGACCATGTCAGCCTGTTCATACTTGCATTTCCAGTATCCACTAAGGTTCATCAGAAGAAAATAAACTGACAAGAAAATACCCACATTTTCGAGAGACAGAACTAGGGAGCAGAGGTGTGCCCCCATTTGTTGGTGGGGTGGATTCTCTGACATAGCTGCAGGAGATTTGTCTTTGACTTATTCAGGGTGAGGCTTCCTTAAGGATAATGCACATTAAATTTTTTTAAAAACTAGTTAGAGGATATAAACAGAAGGCAAATGGTCTTGATTATTTTGAGGCAGAGGGAAAGGGACAGGATAAAATTAAGTGTGAAAGTTAGAAAAAATACCTGATAGTACTGTGCAGCTGTGAAGTATGGGCCTGGTCATGTCTTTTCAGACCTGGGAGAGGCGGTGTCCAGATGGAACTAAAGCATTGGCCCTGGGGCCATGCTATCAGGGTTCAGGGTTTACTTCTTCACTGGTCTGTGACCTTGTACAGCTTCCTATGTCCCGATGTATAAACTGGAACTGAGGTCAGTCTCCACCTCAGGGTCGTTTTGAGCCCAGAGCTTGGGATAAGTAGCTGACATGCCAGGAATTGTGAGTACCTTTTACAGTGATTAACATGGTATTACTCTATCAGACTGTTCAAACCATTAACAATACAGCTTAAAACTATGACAGATCAGGTCTGGGGGACATGTTAGTGAGCAGAAGGCTTGCTTTACAGGCTTGAGGACCTTAATTCAATTCTCCGAGAAGCCTTGTAAAAAATGTCAGGCATGGTGGTGCAAACATGTAAATTTCAGTGATGGAGAGGTAGAAACAGGAGGATCCCCAAGGCTTGCTGGCCAGAGCCTACTTGTTGATTCCCAGGTTAGTGAGAGATTCCCATCTCAAAAAACAAAGTGAATGGTACCTGAGGAATGACAGCCAAAGTTGTTTTTTGGCTTCCACAGGTACACGTGTACACACACACACACACACACACACACACACACACACACACACACACAGTGTGACAAATCAATTTAATTTGCAAACTGTTATTGGCATAAGTATAAAAAGAAAAATCTTCCTCCCAAAATCTGTAGGTGTAGACACCATTCCTATCATTAGTGTATCCCTTCTGGTTCTAACAGGCTGGCTAAGGCCTTGCTGTAGCCTAAGGACACAGACAACAGGAGTGTGCTGTGGTAAGATGACCTAGTCTTTTTGGCCCTGATTTCCTCTCTCTATCAGAAAACCCCTTTCCAACGTTGAAGCTCATCCTGTGTCCCTCAAGGCTTCACCTACGCTGCTTTGTGCTCACACTTGCGTTTTTCTAAATGCCCCTTAATGCTGCAGGAATGGTTGTCTGCTAGAAGGGGTCTGATGTTGGCCATTTAGTTGATAAAGATGATCACAGTATCAACAGCTGTCAGGAGAGGTGACACTTCAGGATGCTTTTCTCAGGCAAAAAAGAGGGAATGTTTCAGAATACTGAAAATGGAATCTTGAGCAACAGATGAATGGTAGAGCTATGACACTCAGGGGTGTGGAGCATTAAATGAGGGTTCTGTAGAAGCCAGACAGTATGTACTGAAGGTTCCACAAAAGCATGGCCACTGCCTTGAGGATGGACCAACACCTCCTGGCAGTGTTCAGTGACTTTCCCGACATGCTTTCTGACTGATGTCAGAGAAAACCTTTCTGAGCTGGCATGCCCAAGATGGTTCCAGAAGAGCCATCTGTGTTTGTGGGTACAGGCTGCAGATACCTGTCTTTTTTTTTTTTTCCAACCCTTATCTTTTGTTCCCTGACCCAGCTTCTTTCAGCTGTGCGAATGTCCTTGTAGTGCTACAAGATCGCATCCCTGCAGTCTTGCCTCACGACAGAGACCTGATTCCTTGTACCATGTATACACACACTAATCAAGGCTTGTCAGAAAAAGTGGAGATCAACATTTTAAGTGCTTTTAATGTTTTTCCACCCTGAAAACAGACTTCCTTTCCATTTCCTCAGGTAGCCTGGTAAGGGGATCAAGTTCAACTTATGACCCTGGGCAGGCTGTGTGATCTGTCTTGAGTCTTACTTTCCACATCGTTAAGTAGGGACATCATGCTTCTTAGAGTGTCAGGTTCTTGTGACAATTCCAGGTAAAGAATGAGCCTGTTAGCAGTGTGGCGATGAGGTGTGTTCCTGAATGTCCATGTAGGGTGTGGGAAGCCATGTGTCCCAGCAGCACTGAAAAGCAGACAGGGTTCTTCAGCTATGTTGGGCAAGGCGTATTAATGGTTGCTTTCCTGAGGATTTACTTCCATCCGTCATGTGCAAATGGCTGTGGTTGTGCAGGCTGTAATGGATCTCGTGTTTAAGGCTTCCATTGTCATGGCTCAGCAGAGCCCTCCCTGGACCCGCCCCTCAGATTGCCTCTTGGGTTCCAGAGGTTCAGCCCATCACCTGTCAGCTCGGATTTGGTGACTGAGACACAGCGTGGAGCCGTTGGCAGATTGGCTTTAGGAGAAGCTAGGCACTGGAGCTTGCCAGCACAATTTGTGCTTTGATTAATTTATTTAATCTAACTCTCTTGTATCAACCTGCAAGGATAATTATGCACAAATTACTGTTTAAACTGGAGACTTGTCTCCCCTCCCGAGCCCCATGCTGGTCCACAGCTCTTCACCGAAGTTTTTGCGAGAGCATTTCTTATTCTCTTGCCCTCCCTGAGATACCAGACTCTCCAAAGTGAACACTCTAGTTTGACTTAAAGCTTCTGAGAAAGGCAAAGTGCTGGTTTGGATTCTGATCCCGTATGTCACATCTCATGGGCAGAGAACTGGCCCTTTTATCTTTGCCTGTGAGTTCAATTCCATTTTCTCTCAGCAGTAAGGTGTAGTAGCTGGCTGCTGCTGCTTTGTTCTTTGACTCAAGTGGGATTTTCTGAATGGTGCTAGAGCATGGGGAGGGGTTGTACGTAGCATGTGTGGGGGGCACACTCACAAAGTTGGTCCTGTTTTATTGACCATTACTGCTGCTGTTGTAAGGCATGCCGGCCTTTTTTGTGCTGCTGGGAAACTACGGGAGAAAGCAATATACTGTCAGATAATCCTAGGACCCCACAATGGCGGGAGACATTTCGATGTCAGCTTTTAGAATAAGTGAATTATGTCTTAGTGATGATGGGGTTTGGCTATGCAGTCTTAGCTTTTCAGGCAGTTTCACTGAAGCTGTGAATATTTTTTGCTGTTGTTCTTAAATGACCTTCACATGAACTCCCAGATTACAGAAAAAAACAGAGCAATGTGAACCTTGCTTTTGTGAGGTACGAAGAAGGAGACAGTGCCGACACTGCTTGAGAAAACGGAGATGGGCAATGCCTGTTGCCAAGTTTTCATGTCTGACTTAATAGAAGGTTTTTCCTATTAATACTTCTGAACAAGACTTTAAATGCTGATACTAAGAACGATTGTTGGGACTTGAGAGATGGCTCAGCAATCAAGAACACTTGCTTTGATCCAGAAGCCCTAAGTTCAGCTTCTAGCATTCATATAAAGACACACTCACACACACAGTACACACACACACACACACAGTACACTCACACACACAGTACACTCACAGTACACTCACACACACAGTACACTCACACACACACTCACACACAGTACACACACACTCACACACAGTACACACACACACTCACACACACAGTACACTCACACACACAGTACACTCACACACACATTCACACACAGTACACTCACACACACAGTACACTCACACACTCACACACACAGTACACACACACTCACACACAGTACACTCACACACACAGTACACTCACAGTACACTCACACACAGTACACTCACACACTCACACACACAGTACACACACACTCACACACACAGTACACTCACACACACTCACACACACAGTACACTCACACACTCACACACACAGTACACTCACACACACTCACACACACAGCACACACACACACTCACACACAGTACACTCACACACACACTCACACACACAGTACACTCACACACACACTCACACACACAGTACACTCACACACACAGTACACTCACAGTACACTCACACACACAGTACACTCACACACACAGTACACACACACACTCACACACAGTACACTCACACACACACTCACACACACAGTACACACACACTCACACACACAGTACACTCACACACACACTCACACACACAGTACACTCACACACACAGTACACACACACACTCACACAGCACACACAGTACACTCACACACACTCACACACACAGTACACTCACACACACAGTACACTCACACACAGTACACTCACACACACACTCACACACACAGTACACTCACACACACTCACACACACAGTACACACACACACAGTACACTCACACACACTCACACACACAGTACACACACACACAGTACACTCACACACACTACACACACAGTACACTCACACACACAGTACACTCACAGTACACTCACACACACAGTACACACACACACTCACACACAGTACACTCACACACACACTCACACACACAGTACACTCACACACACAGTACACACACACACTCACACACAGTACACTCACACACACACTCACACAGCACACACAGTACACTCACACACACACAGTACACTCACACACACAGTACACTCACACACACACAGTACACTCACACACAGTACACTCACACACAGTACACTCACACACACACTCACACAGCACACACAGTACACTCACACACACACACAGTACACTCACACACACAGTACACTCACACACACAGTACACTCACACACAGTACACTCACACACAGTACACTCACACACACACTCACACAGCACACACAGTACACTCACACACACAGTACACTCACACACAGTACACTTACACATGCACACACACTCACACAGTACACTCACACACACAGTACACTCACACACATACACACACACTCACACAGCACACACACAGTACACTCACACACACACTCACATACACAGTATGTATACACACACACACACACACACACACACGAGAAGCTTGTCTTTGTTGCTATTTTTCTCCCAAGGGCACATTCTACTGTGCTTATTAAATTTACCTTGAGCCCAGTTTCCATTGCTGTCATCAAGAAGGAGCTGAGAAAAGGGAGGAGGTGACAATTTGAGTCTCTGAGGAAAGAATCTTGGGAAGTCTATTGACTTGGGACTACCTGCTGGAAATACCCAGGTTCTGGCTTAATTTGTTGGTCACTTGCTGATTTGGTAGCTAGGAAACGAAATTCAGCCTTCTCATTGGCTTTTATTTATCCAAGTATAAATAAGACTGGATGAGGGCCCATCTAAGTTACTCTTGTTATTTCAGGCAGGAGGAAGCTGACTACAGGTGTAAGAGAACACTTGAACACCATACACAGTGTGGGTGTGGCCCCTGTGCCAACTGTGGTCTCTCCTGGAGGCTCACCAGCATTTTCACACCTTTGTTTGTGGTGACTCAATGTGCAAGTTTCCAGGGAAGCAATTGCTCACAATAAGGCGACTTTCTCACTCTTGTGTCTTACCTTTGTTCCCTAGGGACTCATGAATCAAGTCCTTTGAGTATGGCAGTCTCTGTGGGTTTGCCAGATGAGGATGCTGAGGGTCAGGGAAGGTAAAGGCCTTCTTTGCCTTAAAGTAGGCAGGACTGTGATGGAGGCCCAGACCTTGCACACCTGCCCTCCTCTGTTCCAGACAGGTACCAGCCCTCTAATCCTGTTTGACTGGGCTGGCTGAAGGTTACACCAGGTGTGCATTCTGAGGCTTACTTTTACATACGTCTAGGTTCTTTTAGTAAAGGTCACATTTATTGGGTATTTATGGAACTGAAGGGCAGGCCATGTAGGACTCCTTTAATGGCAACTCCTATGTGGGTCTTGGCTCTCCTGGGCCTCATGGTCCCTTGTCCTTGCTTCATTATGTCTCTGTTGGGTTTTCTGTCTGTAGTGGTGGGACAAGGTGGCCCTGTGCTTCTGAGGTCACACCTCCTCAGTTTAGTGGTGAAGGATCTTTTGATTCTAGTTTTAAAGTGAGGATTGGTGGTCATCTGACCCAGCACTTTTCATTTCTTGCTGGAACGGGACACTGGCTGTAACATAATTATTAGCCAGGTGTCAACCTTTTGTTTTAGAGCTTGAATCTTCCATTTTCCTGTTAGGATAGCACCAACTGGGGGTCCATGCAGCTGCAGGAAGATTTATCTTTGCATTCTACCTGAGCAGTGTCTATTTTAGAGACCGAATAACGAGGTGTGAAAAATGCCGGCACTTGTCCTCCCTAATGAGGTTACCTTATGAAAGACATGAGGTAAACACTGTGCCCTCGTTATTGTGGTGGGAACGTTAGGAAATGTTGTCAGTTACAGCTGGAGGACAGTACCGCACAGCGCTGACGTGGTGATCAAGCACTTGTAACTTGCTTTCTAGACTCACACTGGTTTTCCTGTTCCCTTCCTGGGTATCGTTGGTTCATGTGAATTCCTCCTTTCTGCTTCCTTATCTGAAAAATGGGCCTAACCACCTTGCTGACTCACAGAGTTATGGAGGGTACCTGGAACATAGTAAGGGCTCAGTAAACAGCTGCTTTTCTCGGCCCCATCATTCAGCGTGAGTGGGCTGTGCTGGGGTTTGACTAGGCAGGTTTTGCAGTGTCTGCACATTAAATGGCCTTGGCTGCTCTGTTGGCTCCAGCAAGGGGATGGTAGTGGGGCGTCTCTCTGTGCTGATATTAGTCCAAATGGAGTTCTTCTTCCTAATGCTCTGTCTTGGAAACGACTTATCAGTGCTTTAGAGAGTCTAAGGCATCTTAATAGCAGATTTTATTTGTGGTTGGCAGTATGAGTTGACCCACATCTAAATCCTTCTTGATCTAATCGTCTCTGCTATCCTGTTTGATCTTGTAAATATTAATTTAGTCTGTTTGTACATGTGGTTTCCAACGGTCCCAAGGTTAATTACTGTATTTTGTTTATAAAGTGCTCACAGGAGGCTGGGCATATTGTGGAGGACTTAGGAAAACTCTATCACCATTTAGGTCTATAGACTTCCGTAAAACCTGATGGGCGCCAAATGAGAAGAATTCCCAGTTCTTGTAGCGTGGTGAATGATTCCTGCTCTAGCCTTTTGTTTTAAGAAATATGTGGGCAGGTCTCAGGAGATGGTGCTGTGCAAATATGAGGACCCGAGTTCAGATCCTTAGCATCTATGTAAAGTGCCAGGTGCGGCAGCATATGTTTATAGCTATAGCTCCAGTGGGTGGACACATGGGACTTGCTGACCAACCAGTGTAGCCAGTATGATGAGCCCTGGGTTGAGTAAGTGATGCTCTCTAGAAAACAAGGTAGAAAATTAATTGAGGAAGACATCCTGATGTCAGCCTGTGGCTCCCACGTGCGTGCATGGCAAGCATAACCTGCACACACGCGCGCGCGCGCAGCACACACACACACACACACACACACACACTACATAGGCATACTTGTTTTGTGCTTCTTCCCATTCCATGGCTGCAGTGTTCCCTAAGAATGCTGGGGATCCCCGATGTGGTCGCTTACACTACTGTCCGTAGCGGCTTGCTGGACTCTGGGGAACCCTGGCCTTCCAGGACAGTGAGAGGAAGGAAAGTCAGTGGTGTGGGACTGAAGGGCAAAGGAAGGGCTCGACAGAGTCTTATGGGGGAGACAGTGCTGTATGTACCCCAAAGAAGACAAGTGAGGGGCTGGCCACCCCTAGGCTGTATGTGTTTGGCAGGCCACGTGGCAGGTGGGAGAGTGTTCCAGGTAGGAAGAACATTTTGAGCAAAGATTCACAACCCCCTCCCCCAGATTCCTAAACATCTATGAAATTATGTTCATGTGTTCCCTTCTTTATCTTTATTTTTGATTACTTGATACCTGTTTAAATGAGCTTTTTTGAGTATATTTGCTTTAAAAAGGAAATATTGCCACTTATGAATTATATGAACATATGCATTTGCTAATAGATTATGCATATGTACTAAAATGAGAAGCAGTGTGCCTGGGCATCACCCAGGAGCCGTCTGGCAGACCCCTGCTATGTCTCACATGCTTTGGCCAACTGAATATTCAGTTAATGAGACTTGGCTGTTTTTCCTTGAAGGAGAAGAGTCCGTGATGCAGAGCATCAAGCCTGGATCTGAATCTAGGCCATTGGGTCTGTAGCCTGCTTCCGCCCTCTCCTAGCTTTGTGACATCGGGTTTGTTGTTTCTGTCCTTGTGTTTGCTCACGTAAAATGTAGTATTTTCCAGATTGAAAAGCAGACAGAGCTGAGGGAGGTTCGATGAGGTAAGTTGTTAGGTGTCTCTCCCCGACTTTGGAGGTAACATTTCCCATGATGTCTCTTCTGGAATACTGTGTTCAGCTTTGTGGAGCTTATCCTAAAGAAAGTAGTGCCTTTATACCCAGCTCCCTTTTTTGGTTCTCTTCATAGCCAAACCAGCTGGTAGGTTACTGAGCACCCCAGCGTGGCTGAGTGAGGTGCACGCTCAGGAAGAGTGGGGTGCACCCACTTGGAATGTGGATAGCAGCTGCTGTAGCTGTACTTGCCTGAGCTTCATTGTGCAGCCATTTTCCCTGAGTGTGTATATGAGTCTTAAACCTTTAAAATGTGACTTCTAGTCTAGACTTCAAAACATATACATTGCATTGCTGCCCAATAATGCAACCTTTATTATTGAGCTTCAAAATAGGGGCCCTGGGGAGATGGCTCAGTTAGTAATGTTTGCTGTACAAAAATGAGAATCTTAGTTTGATTCCCAGCATCCATATAAAAAGCAAGGCATGGATGATGCCTGCTTGTAATCTCAGTGATGGGGAGGCAAGACAAGTGGATCCCTAGGACTCACCGGTAGCCAGCCTAGTCTAGTCAGGAGTTACAGTCAGTGAAAGACCCTGTCTCACAAAAAAAAAAAAAAAAAAAAAAAAAAGGTGGATGACTCTTGAGGAATGATACCCAAGGTTAGTCTCTGGCCTTTGCATAAACATTTGAATGTGTACACACACACACACACACACACACACACACACACACGCACGCACGCACGCACGCACGCACGCACGCGCGCGCGCGCAAGATGGATACTGATTACATTTTAGGTGAAGGCATAAGTTCATAGTAAATAACAGACCCTTTTAAAAAGAAAGGTAGCAATACAATTATGTGTGGAGTAGGGGCTCTCAGCTAAGGCTGCTTCTCCTAGCTGTTCCCTTTCGTATGTTTCCACTTGTAAGGCTACACTGCAGCCTGTCCCCCTTCCCTCTCATGTTTGGGCTGTGAAGAATAAGTAGGACCCGCCTGAATTGTGGCTGGACCATCTTCTGCTGTTATCCCTTTTCTGGACCACGGTTTTGCTTTGTTTCTCTGTCACCTTTTGTGCAATCAGGCTCTTGATGTAATTAAAACGAGGCAGGGACCAGCTTTTTCACCTTTGCCTCCTCTGTTGAGATCCTTCTGGCCACAGAGTGTGGCGCATCATAGAGACATTTTCTAGAACAGGGAGTGGGTGCTCCTCATGGAGACGCTCAGTGACCATTATCCAATACTGTGCCCCTTAGCCATGTGTATCCTTTGAGCTCTTGGAGTGTGCCCATTGCTGCCAAGGAGAGGACATTTCAGTTTCAGTTAAGTAGCCATATGTAGGTTGTAGCTACCAAATAGAGAACATAGATCTGGAGATTGGAAGGACTCCTGTGCCATATAGACCAGTACCAACCTCCCTTTCCACTTAATTATTCATATTCACATAGTCCCCCTCTTCTGCCCCCAGGGCTGGGCATCAAACCCAGAGTCTCCACAGTCTAGGTAAGCTCCCTTCAACGAGCAACACACCCAACCTCCACAGCTTGGATGGGAGGAGGGTGAGTCAGGCCTTTGGAAAGCATCTGCTGTAATTGTGAGATGCAAAAGAGAGCAGACCCTCCAATAGCGGTGTCCTGAACTCTTCTCCCCAGCATGGTTAGATTCTAGAATAAAGTATGCTGGGTTTCTATGTTAATCCTTTCAGAAATCCATTCGCCAGCCAGATGTGCTTTTCTCCTTCCTTTCCCACACAGGAAAGCTCCCGAGATGCAGATGAGTGGTGGATGTGTTATTAGGGATAACCTTGAATCTGATCTAATTTATTAGTAAATCATTGACAAGCTTGTGTTATCGGGAACATGTTACTTGTGAA